ACCAAACCCAACCGATAACGTTCCCCTTACATCAACTTTAAGCCATTCACAACTTTAAGTCATAAGATCAAGATGTTGTCCGAGTCGCAAATGAAACTCTTCAGGGGAGCAAATGCGGAAAATATGATGGTATAAATTTGTCGACGACAGACAACACATGTTGTTAATAACTTTATTGTTTGCTCCTCCTCGTCGCCACTCGTTTAACGAAATTGAAACACGTGACTGGACACTGGACCTTGGTCACAATTATATAAAACGAAAGATTTTTTGATACTTTTTGTCCATCTCCCAGAGATTTTCTTCTCTTTATTTTTCTGCAAGCGTTGACAGAAAATTAATTAAAAAATTCCTCTTGTTCGTTTGGTTGGATGGGGCAGAAAAAAACTATATAATGACTTGCAATCGATTGCAGTGTGCAGTTCAAATGGCTGGATATTGCGATTGAGTTAAGTTCATTACCGAACTCTCAGGAAAAATGGGCGGCAGGTGGAAAATGGGAAAACTCTTGGACACAGGTGGAAAAACGTTACGGATGCAGTTGATGGCCTGCATTCGATGGGATTAGTTCGCAAAGTCTTAGGAGCTCGTAAAAATGACAATGTTGCTGGAAGACTCGAAAGCAAGGACACAAGCTAAAGTTTAATGAAGTTATGGGTGGTAAAGCGGATAAAGGAATAAAGAGCAATACCATACTTTCGAGAAAATTCTTTGTTTTCACAATATGAAACTCCTTTGGAATTCATCTATAATTAAACATTTCTTTAGCAATTCTTCCATCTCCATCATTTTCTCGTGCATCCGTTCGAATTTCCCCCACTTTAAACTTGCTCCAGTTTTCACCTGCATGCCAAATGAAAAACACAACCCAACCAAATCTGAACCAAGCCACGTACCAAAAAAGGCAAAAAGAAAAAATACTTAAATAAACTGAATCAAAACCAAACTTATCCACAATCTTTTCTCTTTGGTGTTCGCATTTTCCCCGCTTTTCACCGCATCGAGTTTTTCCGACTGCTCCATAGCTGAACATAAAGTCGTTAATACCGCAGTTTTCCTTCCACACATCGCAAATATCTAGGGATTGGGGGAAAACCATGGTCTCATCTTCCATCCGCCTCGGTTTTTCACCCTCCACATCGCCGAATGAGAATCCATAGCACCTAATTTGCTGCAATTTTCACCGCTGCCAACGGAAAATTCTGCTACTCCGTTCACCTGCTTTATTAAAAATGCATAAAATCTGCACAACACCGCAGCAACAAAAAGCAGAAGCTGAAATAAAGTTTCCATTGCTCTCTTTCTGGCTACATATATATATTTTTCTTTCTGCTGTAATTTAAAACGCAGCGTACGAGAAACATGAAAATAAATATTAAAAATAAATTAGAGCTACCAGTGGGTTTATATTAACTTTTAATTTACGAAGGGTGTAAAATAATGAGAGGGGATCGCAAGAGAACTTGCAGCAGCAGCTGCAACCAAACACGAATGCTGGCTAAATAAGAAACGAAAAATTGCAATATAGGCGAAAAGAAGGATATGGCAACAAACCAGGTGTTGCAAGGTGGGTAAAAGGGGGTACAAATAGGTGTGTGCAGAGCCGTAGACACATGTGCATTAGCCCTCACACACGCTGGCACATAATTGAAATTATGTTTGGAAATTGCAATTTGCAAGGCAAGCAGAGAAAGACGAGCAAATGAAAGAAATACCAATGGAATTTTCAGTAAGAAATTCGAAAAACGAATTCAAAATGCTTTATGTTTAAAACTTCTCTATAAAAATATAATATAATATAATATATATAAAAAATTTATAAAAAAGTATAATAAAAAAATATATAGTAAAAGAACAAAAAAAAATGTTAGTTTTGAAAAGTTGATCCTAACCTTAAAAAAAAAATACAAAATTCTATCATGATTTTAAAACTTTTATTTTATAAATAAATCTAATAACTTATGTTTATTTATTTTTTTCATGGATTTTAAGCCAGAACTATTAACAACTTTTTTTAAAATTCCAAAAATTGTCTTCTGAATATTCGAAAAAACCAAGTGTTTTTCAAGAAAGAGTATTTTAAATCCCCAAGAAAACGCATACCCCTGATGCAGTAAATACCAAGATGAATCTGGATTAAGGTGGAAAACCAAGAATAATAACTGCAGATGCAAAAAAAAAAAACCACAAAGACACTGAATAATCAGAAGTCATGATCGCTAGTTTGATTTAGCTGGGCTGGGCTAATTTCATAGAAAGTTGCGTGATTTAATTGATTACGTTCCGTCGAACAAGTGTAGCGTTGCCTGAGCTTCTACGCTTCCTACAACTCCCCCTATTATATATCTCTGTTTTTTTCTTCGTTTTTAGCATAACCCAAATGCACTTGAGCAGAACCGTGGAAAAGTGCCGAGAGATAGAGGGAATCGGTGGCAACACAACGATTTGCAGTCAAAGTTGCAGTTGGATAAAAAAAATAAGAGAAAAAAAAAGATGGGAAAAATGGAAAACCAAGTTAAAGGAGCGACAGGGAGGGCAACTGATGTAATGACATTTAGAAAAGGGCAACAACAACAACAACTAGATGATAAGTTTTTCCCTCTTGGAGTTTGGAGAAAAGCCTCTTGCTGTACGCCTCGAGCCCTTTTCAGTGTTTAACTTGTGTGAAGTTTTCAAGTTGCAGTTGGACAAGACAAGACGGATAGATAGATGCGAGCATCTTAGGCATCATGGCCACTTGTGGAGGTTAACCCACTGACTGCCAAGGGGGTTAGTGGATAGTAGTGGATGCTGGTTGGCGGTGCTGTGGCCTGGGAATGAGGGAATAAATTGGGGTTCGAGGTGGCTGAAAACCCACGACAGCTGTTGCCCCAGGCTGCCTGTGGTTCTGCGGTTCTGTGGGCCTTTTAAGCAGGTCAACTGGAGACATGAGAGCAGCAGATAGCAGTTGTCGAGAAGTTTGGCTGGAAGTTAATCTATTTGAAAAGTTACCCAGGCAGTTGGAAATTAAGGAACGAGGAGGCGAGTGATACTTGGAAAATAGTATGAAGTTACTAGAAATAATGGAAAATAACCTCTCTAGGTTGAAACGTTTTAAACAATCTTGTTAACCTAATATAATTAGTGATATTAAGTTCCAAATATATCTGATTCGTTTGCTCCCTACCATCTGACTGTAGCGTAATCCAATGGATCCATAAAATCCATTTCCATTTGCATAACGAATTCACACCATTCCGTTCGCCTCTGTTCTTTGGCTAAAATTTCCATCTAATTACCGTCAGAGTGTCACAGGCACTTGACAATGACATCTCTCATTTGGACCCCTCAGATTCCCCCGCTTTTTGCCCCTAAACAATAACCCCAAGTAACAGTCAAGAGCTTAGTAACATTTGAATATGAACTCATCCTCCTTCTCCTGTTTGGCCCCTTTTGGCCATAACTGAGCTGAGTACTTGGTTATGCACTTTGATATGCGTCAGGCAGTCAGTCAGTTCGGTTGGTTTTGTGATGCAGCTAGAGAAATGGAAACCTGAGTGCGCAACACACGTCGAATACGTAATATGTGGGTGATTTTAAGGCAATATATGAAATGGGGTGGAGGTTCTGCTTCTAGGGTTAGCAGATTGCCCAGAAATGCCTAACAAATTATAAACATTTATTATTTAGCTCCTTTTCGGAGGGCCAAATGTGGGTAAACAACATTCAAATGTTGTTTACAGCGAGAGTGCACTGTGATTATGCATCGACTACGTTGACGTGACTGATGATGATGATGTTCTATAACCCCCATCTCCCCATCCGTAGTATACTGTTTTAGTCACTTTACAGGGATTTTCAAAGCGCATAAATCACTCAATTGGAAAATGCACTCTCTCTTCTATCTCGCCTCCACTCTATTTGTGTACTCCTCCCACTTTGGGTTCTGGCCCCAAAGCATAATTCATATGCTATTTAAGCCTGGGCCATAAATTCACCGACCAACGCACACAGGCACCCACATTAATTAGAGCCAAGAGTGAACTCTTCGCTTACCTTTCGGTCTCTGTGGTTATCTAATAAAAAAATGGAGAGAGAAAAATAGAACCCATAACCAGACGCAAAAAAGACGCATACACACAGTGGGAAAATTACTAACATTGAACCTCATTAGTCTTGCGCCGAAGATTAGGGCTGTTTCTTCTGCCGCAGATTCTTCGGATCTGAACTCGGTAACCCCACTGGAGAAATGAGTATGCAAAAAGTTGCATGCCAAAGCGTAAATAAAGGGATTTGGCTCTATACTAAAATAATCAATCAATGTGCCAATCAATCACCCATAGAAAAACGAAATCGCCAATAGAAATCCAAACTGTGCGGAAAATGTACCATACAAATAACAACAACCAACAAGAAAACAATCAACGGAAACAATTACAAGACACTGCAAATTATTGACTAGTGGGTGTGGATTTTGATTTAGAATATCTAATTGGAATCGGTAGTGTTAAAAAAATTACACTTTAGAAGAATGTTTATGTTTAAGTTATCTATCTAAACCTTTTTTTACAATCCCCATTTTTATTAGGAATCTGTATCTTTATCAGTGTTTCCATTAGTTTTTATTTCTTGAGTAAATATTTCTGCTTTTTCTTTGTTCTGATTTCAAGTTAAAACAATTTTACACCATTGACTCACAGAGGTTTCATATGTAAAAGTTTACAAAACAGCTTTAAATATTTGTACTAATAATATTTAAAGTTTGAAAGTCACTCTGAAGCTGCCCATTTCAGATTATATTTATGTTTACTTGAGGGAAGTTTTACATGTTTCTTTGTTCTCTAAAATGGGAGTGAATATAAAATATTTTACTTCATATTTTTAAGAATGGAACTCTTATCGAAGCAAAGTTCTTTAAAATTCTTTCTCTTTCAAGCAACTGCTCTAACCATTTCGAAAGTATTTCAGATCAGTGAATCATTTTCTTATCGACAGATGTTTTCGGGTTGGGCGGAACTTACAATATGCTCCTTAAGCTCTTTGGTGCGGATTGGTCCCAGCCACTGATGTAATCCAATGTAGCGTTTATGCACCATTTTCAAGGCGGGGGCGCCTTGGGCGTATGGGCCGCCCAAAAGGGCGCTGGTAGTTTCTAAAACCACCATTTTGCTAGCGCCCGGATCTGCGATAATATTTGTTATAGTTGCTGTTTATGGTATTTAAAAAACACTTTCCGGCTAATTGTGCCGGACAAGCGAAATGAAACTTCACTGTTTGTTTTTTTTTGTGAGTAGCAATCACTTGTGATTAAACTGCTCACGAAATTGTTATGGTTTTTTTTTTTTGTGTTTTAATTTTTAATTTCCCTTTGGGTTTCAATTAAATTTAAGCCGAATCTCTTTGCCAGACGTGACACTGCGGCCACAATAACGATGAGAGGACACCGGATGGGAGCTCTTCTCCTTCTGCGTGTTATAATCTGCACTTTTAATCCCCGGCCACGACGACAACGACGACAGTTTCAATTTACTTTTGCCATTTGGCAATCCTTGAAATCAATTAAACGACACGCACAATCCATCCAGCAATTCTTTTTTTTTGTATTTTGGGGTAATATTTCTCAGACACTTTTGGGGGTTTTTTTTTGTTTTGTAGGTATTTATTTTTTGTTTTGTTTGGTTTTTTGGGAGGCACAATTGTTGTACAATGTTGGATGCTGTGGTCAAACACTTATTGCTAGTTGCTTGAATTTATTCAGCGCGATAAATAAACCACGAAAACGGCGACTACGACGAATAGTAAAACGGAAACGAGATGCGCGGAGACAACCGTTGTGTTCAAATTTCCATCGCGAACTGATTTCGAATGTGACTGATTTTCCAACTTGGCCAAATAAAACGAGCGAAGCCGAAGCCAGAAGCCGAAGTCAAAGCCGAAGCCGAGAAGAAACGAACCGAAACGAAGTGGAGAGCCGAAGAATGCCAATATTAGAAGAGATTCGGGTAGAAGAGGTCTCTTTTGCTTTGTAGAATTGAGGGAAAAACACTTGTTGTTGACGTTTTTCCGACGCGGCGGCACACCCCAAAAATAAAAGAGAGGTCGTGAAATCACGGAGAGCGAACTGTTGCTTTTTCCCTTGGAGAGTTGAGCGAACTCTTATACAAAAAAAAAATACTAGTCTTATGGTAGAAGAGAGGAGAACGGCATTGCCAGCTGCCGCAAGGAAAAGCGCAGTTATCTTTTGTAGAAAATCACCACAAGGTTAAAGGGCGGAGGCGGTGGGTGGTGGGGATGGGTGGGTTTTGTGGGCGGTGTGAGCTGCATAGATAAATGTATGCACTGTTTTTGTTCGCCACTTCCGCTGAAGAAAAAGCGGCAAATTCGGAGAAATACAGAACGTTAACAGGTTGCCCAAAGGCGCATACCATAAGAACACTTATAAGGTTCCAGGGGCTAAGAAGTTTAAGTTCTTAGAACGGAAGATACAGCTGCTGCGGATTTCCTTTTACCTAGAATTTTATAACAAATCTCTTAGATAAATACTATATATCTTTCCCGAATTATTGGGACTTCATAATTATGGGTATTTTAATTTTGCGGATCTTGTTTTAATCATTATAATAAGCTATTTTTGGGCAGTACTAACCCTTAAATTTCTTAATTTTAACATTTTATTCTAGCTGCGGAGTTAACAATCCATTGTGAGATTTGGATGTAAGTTTTTTTTGGTGGCATATTAGTTATTCAGCTATACAAATATTATGAAATAATAAACAAACATAGTCATCAAGAACCAATGATAAAATGACTTCATACTAAAAAGCAGTCAATGAAGATTTATTGGTTGAACTTGAATTCATTTGGCACGTCTAATGGCCAAATTCAAAAGAAATTTAAATCCCTATCTTATATAACTTTTTGTCCCATTCAAAAGGCAACAGGTTAAAGGAAAGATAAAATCACATTTATACATACAAGAAACTCCAACCTCAGCCCCGTTAACTTAATTTCGCCCAGCAACAAAAATCACAAGCGAAAGGTAAAAAATAAAAAGGAAAGGGTAGAAGCGATTTTAACCAAAATGAGCTTCATTAATTATACACAACTGGATGACAAGTTTCAGACGCCTTGTAAGCATTTTAATGATCATAAACCAAGCAACGAAAAAAAGTTTCGTTGACTGCGTCGAGTTCAGAGTATTATATATTTAAAACCCATGCCGAGTTTGTTGACTTCTTCAACAAAGTGTGACTAAACAAATTAAGCCGAGAACCGAGAAAAGTTAAAACAGGCGGGTGGGGGAAGTACGAAACAGATCAGCAACGAAAAAAAAATATTCGAAAACCCGGAGCGCACTAAATTACAAATTAAGTAAGGTTCGTACCTCGCAACATCAAAGCTGAAGCTTTTTGAGTGTGAAAAAAAACGAAACAAAAACACGTAATACTCGGTAACAAGCAAAGCCGATTTCACGCACGAGAAGACGACGAGTGAGGGAGATGGTAAGTAAGTAGGATGGGACCTCAAACTAGAGGCCTCTTCCATTTATGAAAACTGGAAAATTGTTGGCAATAAATGGAATATCCAACTACATCGTCATTATCCTCTTGACCATTATCAACCACATTCACCCAAATGGGCACAAGACAACATTCTTTCTTTTCCTGCCGTCCGCTCAGAAGAATCTAACGGTTCTTGAGACAAGGAGTGCACTGAAGAAAATATATTTTAAAGCACGATTTTCGAAGTAATGATGCAGAAATGTTCTTTGGGAAATAGTATATCCTATCTTCAGCACTAATAGTGTGATAATACGTATGGCGCTAGAAAACATTAATATCGGAATACTGTATTATATTATCATTATAAAAAAATTATACTAAATGTATTTTCAATAAACCGTTCTACCTTTACCACAATATTTGTAAAATTAAATCCTAAAGTAATAATAAAAAGAGTACAACAGAATATTTTTGCAGTACTAACAGTACTATCTCTATAAAGAATTTTTCCTCAGAACTCAATTATAATTCTGGTTTTTTGCAAGTGCAACTGCATTTAGCACAAATCCAAACCGACAGCGGCAACAACTTGTTGCCGTAAACATGTTGCTGCAACATGGTATCGGTAATTAAGCGGTAGTTTCAAGTTTGTTTGGTTATATTATTTTGCTTCCTTTTCTTTTTTTCTAGCTCACAAGTTCATTGCACGGAGCACATGAGAAATTAGCACAGAGAAAGAAGAAGAAGAAGCTGCCCCCCCAAGAAAATTATGCAAACCGAGAGAGGGAGAGAGATGGAGAGACAATAGTGATCTCCCGCTCTCGCCAAAACCCCGACAATGACATTCAAAAAAGCTGCCAGTCAAGCTCCCCATCTCTCTCTATCTTTGAGCTGCCCTCTCTTTCGGCTCTTTGGGCACCTACTACCTTTGTATTCCAGTCAAACCACTTTGATTGGGAAGTTCGTTCACCGCACGAATTACGTTCAGTTCAGATGGCAACAAAAACCATATGAGATCATAATGATCAAGCATCATCGTCATCATTAGCGTTGATCGGGTTTTGGCCTAAAAATATTTTCCAGCTACCACGACCTGCCTAACTGCATTTTGGCCAGATCGGTCGTACAACTTGGCTCTACAGATTTCATACTTTGTAATGAGCCATAAAAGGAGAAGAAGCCATAATACCCAGCTTAGTTCCTTGATGTTTTCCATTTTATGCCTTAGCAATTAGCAACTAAGACTTGAATTGCATGTTCTTATGGGAGATAATTCCTTAAAATGATTGCTTTTACTTAAAAGGATTTTCAAACACGTTTTGCATACCCTTATGTAGGATAGTTATAGTGATTTTAAAGTTATTAATTGCAGCAGTGGAAAACGTATCTTACGTTTCAATAACCGAAATCAAAGGTATATTTTCTACATGAATAGCAAGTCCTCCCAGAAGTTAGTTCATTAAAAGGACATATTATACTTAGTGGATTTTCAAACACGTTTAGCAAACCCTTATGTAGGATAGTTATTGTGATTTTAAAGTTATTAATTGCAGCAGTAAAAAACGTATCTTACGTTTCAATAACCCACATCAAAGGTATATTTCCTCCCAGAAGATAATTCTTTAAAACGACTTCTTATACTTAGTGGACTTTTAAACACTTTTAGCATACCCTTATGTAGGATAGGTATAAAGATTTTAAAGCTATTAATTGCAGCAGTGGAAAACGAATCTTACGTTTCAATAACCCACACCAAAGGTATATTTCTAAATGAAGTGCATGTCCTCCCAGAAGATAATTCATTAAAATGACTTCTTATACTTAGTGGATTTTCAAATACGTTTAACATACCCTTATGTAGGACAGGTATAAAGATTTTAAAGTTATTAATTGCAGCAGTGGAAAACATATCTTACGTTTCAATAACCCACATCAAAGGTATTTTTTCTAAATGGAATTTGTTCATCTCCCGAACCTTTTGTTTTCAATTCCATTTTCACATGACATATTTCATTTCATTCCTCTTTATAAATTTCCCCGTAAACTATAGATGGTGCCAACGGTTTTGTTTTGTAAAATAAATTCGTTTAGCCTGTCAAGGGCCTATCGATAACGTTAAGTCAACGCCTGCATGCGTGTACATACATATATGTATATCTCACCCACAATGCATTTCATTTGCAATTCACACCAAAGTGAAGTACCCAACCAGATACGTCAAAAGGGGGCGCACTATCAAAAGGGGGGCGTGGCAACGGGTGGGTGTTGCACTGAAGTTTCAAGTGTGTCAGTCGGTGGAGTCGAGTGGTTCCTCCGGCTGGCAGGGTTGTCAGGTAATTGAATAACGTCCTCAAATAAATACGAAATATTCCACAATTTATTTGGGTGCAACTTTTTTTCAGAACAGTTGGGTGTTGGTTATGACACAAAAAAGGGTTATACAAAAAAGTTTGTAGTTGGCTTTTGGCCAAAGTTTAGATAGGGATTACTGTATTTGTGGTTGGCTATGTTGTTTACTGGCCGTCAGGGAGAATATACATATATTTTGAAGAACTGCTGAGATAATAAAAATAAATATAAAATATGTTTACATGACCAGGAAAACTTGTTTTAAAAAATGGTATCTTTGTAAATTCATTATATATAAAATACAGTATGTTTCCATGACTTTTTACTCTTTTAAATTTTCTGTGATGACAACAATTTGAGTGTATGTACAGATCGTCCTATCTTCAACCATCTTTTAACTATCATTTTCAATTTTGTATTCGCTATTCATCAGCTGGCACAACCATCATTCATTTGTCTCCCAACGGACCGTCCATTCGCCCTTTTGGCATTTATTGAATGGCATATCTAAATTGAATTTATAATAGTTGACAAGACAAGAACCCGCCATTGAACCCACACCCACCTCGGTGGCTTGGTCAACCAATTCAGAGCAATTCTCATTCATTTACTTCAATCACTTCTCACATTTTTTTATGCAACTGAGCAGACAAGACAGAAAGAGAGAAAAAATGTGGCGAAAATTAATTAAAAATCAATTTGATTTTGAATGTTGACTGGGGGGAGGTCTGTTAACCCATCTATTTGTTCTCGCTCCTCCTCCTGGTGGAATGTTTAATTGACATTTGGTACAATGTTTGACATTTTTCCTCCACAAACTGAATACCATTTGTATTTACGTTTTTGTCTCGTTCTCTCTTTTTTTATGATTTTTCAATTATGTACTTTTTTATTCCCATTTCTTATACTCCAGTGGGTGTGATGTTTTTGTTTGGTCGGAAAAAACAAATCAAATTAAAATAAAAGAACACATTTAATTGAATTATTTTGCAAGAAACATAAAATCGCATCACACGTATTTATCTAT